TCATACGGTAGTTTTCGAGATTACACGCTGACTTGAAACTAGAAATTAGACCAGTTTAAGTTTTTGAAACCAAAAACTTTAAACAGTCTTTCGCAAATATGTAGGGAATGGTAAAATGTATAGCAATAGTGATATCTAAATAACTAATAAGCCATTGCTTTTCGCAGACACGCAGATGTGTTGCCCTTTAGCGCGTTTGCAAATGCTAATATGCGTATGCGAGCATCGCCTGAATTTCCCTTTATATCCGTGCGGCTTAATAGCTGTGATTTTGCCTTATATATATATATATAAATATATATATATATATATATATATAAATATATATATATATATATATATACGAGTATATATATATATATATATATATATGAACTAGTAGGTACAATTTAGTCGGCAATTGCAAAATACGCAAGCAGACAGGGATTCTGCATGTTATAACAATCCCATCTTCAAGCATAAGAAATATTGCACAAGTATTGAGCTTGAACTGTAACTTTTAAACTAGTTGGTATTGGTATTTCGTCTTGAGACAAGTTAGATAAACTTCCCGATATGTGTAAATCGACGTAATCAATAAAAAATAGGTTAATTTATAAGTGATTGAAAGTATTCCAAGTGGATTTATTTCACATATTTGAAACACGTTATTTTGGAGTATTTTCTAAAAGAAAATTTTCAAAAATCAATGATTTTTATAATTGAACTAGTTTCCGTTAGACTTTAATGGTTTAGTACCTTCATTAATATCAAGTACTCTATCGTTATACCAAGTAAATAGTCTAATTTTAATTTTAACAAAGGTCAAAGAAATCACTCACTTTCTCAAATTTGGCGAGTTTTTAAAATTAAACTACTAAACGTAAGGTCGTAATATTTCAGTAAGTTCTATAAGATCATGATATGTATTGTCAAAAAAAGTTCCATAAAAATCGGCTTAAATTTCTTTTTCAACAGTTAATTACAAGACTGCTTACAAGCTCGGTAAATTTTCACCTAAAACTAATCAATATCATTCCCAACTAATATCTTTCGAACAGATTTTGATTTTTAAAAATCGACTTGATAGTATCAGCTTAAATGTAGACGAAAAGTTTAACACTGTTTCTCAAATAACAAAGAAACGGCTTGGCAGATCGTCACACAACACTGAGAAACGATCATCCTCATCTAGATACATCGGATGGCTTTTGAGAAAACGTCAATTTACGGCAAAAAATCTGTTCACATACATACATACAAACATACACACACATAAACACACACACACATACACACACACGTACTTTTTCCAAATTTGGTCGCATTCGATTCAGAATGGCTTGAAACGTCGAGAAAACACGAAATTGGCCAATCGGATTTTTTTATGAAAACATACTTCTCTTTTAGAAAGTTAAAAATCTTGGTACTCATTTTTAAATATTTATAACATATCTGATATTCTGATTAACATTTATCTGATGATCATTTTTGATCGCCAAATATCATTCCTTTTCAAAAATTTTATCAGTTCTACGTTTTGTCTCAACAAGTAAAATATTTTATGTTTATTTTATGAGTTATTTAACACTTTGGGGTTGACTGTCCACCTCAGTGGACAAACATACTCTGTGTAGCACAGGCTATTTTATAAACATTGACTCAGTTTGCATCGAAAAGTTGAATAAATTACATATAGCAGTGATAAACAGTGTTGTATTTTGAAAATAATTTTAAGTTATTTTAGTAGTATTTTTAGCCTTTTTTTTTGCTATATGTTTTTTTTTAAATATTTAAAACGACCGTGCGCTTTTAAATATGGCAAAGCGACTGGTAAATTTTATGAATTAAGCAGTAGTGAAGATGAGTTTCAAATAGACATTCATACAGACAAATTTTACGAAATTACTATTTGCACCGATGATAGTGATGAATGTGATGATGAAATTATCCAACCAACAAAAAAAAGAAGTTCGACAAAATAAATGAAGACATTAGCAAATGTGCCGATTCTACTTCAATAATCGAGTTTGACATACATCAACAAACACCCCGACTACAAATACCAAGCAATATAAGACATTCAATAGATTATTTTACTTTATATTTTATAAATGAATTATTAGACAATATAATAAAAAAATTAAACTATTATGACAGCAAAAAAATGACCAAATATACTGACTAATCAGTGGCATATTCTAAACGCGAGTGAAAGAAAAAGGGGATTAAATTATCCGTTCTAACAGAAAAGCACCAGGAGGAAGGCGTCGAACAGCATTTTATTGTAAAACATGTCAAAATCAACCAGCTATGCATTTTGGAAATTGTTTTGAACGTCACCATTCTTTATAAAATGATCAAAAATAAATTAAAATTATAAATTTATGTCCTTCAATGATCACAAATTTTTATGAAACAAATTGCATAACATACACAATTAAATCAAGTTTACAGCCGGTAAAGTAGATTGTTTTGAAATAGGTGCCGTCCCGAAAGTGTAAATATAGAATTTGCATTCATAAAAACCGCTTCATAAAAATGTTTACTGTAATTGTTTATCAACCACAACGTTTACTTTTACCTCTTACAATGTTAACAATCCCAGATATGCACAAACCAATGCCTCCTCCTACTTGCTGCTATTGTTATACATTTTACCGCCGCAGCGATTCATTACGTTTATGAACATCGCTAATGGACGCGCGTCATTTCGAGCCGATCGACGGCAGATGAGCCACAAATGCAAATGATATGCAATTAACATTTCAAATCAGCATCATTACACACAATGTGATATTTGTAATCATTGTTTGATTATTGTTTGATATGAATTCCGATGCAACGCACGTAGGGAGGAAAGGTAAGAGAAGGCAAAGGAAATTTTAATGGTGCAAAGCTGGATAAATTGGTTTTCGTAATAATAATTTAACTAGTGGAGTGCGTGGCATCGTGCCTTAAGGCAAATTGCTGGAATTTCCCATACCGTAAAAATCTTGGTACGGAACGCAAAAAAAATTACACAAAATGTGTACACATTATGAAAATCTCTATAAAATATCTGATAATTTGATGTACATATGTCCAACAAAAATTTTTGACCGCCAAATGACATTTTTTTAAATTATTTTTATTGAGAGTCCATAAACGCTGGACCTGCCTTTCCAAAAATTTTACCAGTTGTTCATTTCGCCAATAAAAATGAAATGTTTTTTGAATTGTTGAAGTCGGACGATCCGTTCTCTTAAAAACTGAGTTACCGTTTTTGGCACTTTTTGCCCCGTATCTTTGGAACGGCTAGACCTGCCTTTGCCAAAACTAATCAGGACGTCTCCTTATTAAAACAAATCAATTGTTTTTTGAATTATTGAAATCGATTGATCGGTGTTCCCGAAATCGTCGACAAAAATTTGTATCTGTACACACACACACACACATACATCAATTTTCTCTAATTGTAAGATATGCCAAAATATTCAGAAACCTCTGAATTTTTTTGCGATTACTATAACTGACGCTACGGAAAGTTAAAAATGTACATTTTTGCTTATTTTTACGTTTCAAAGGTTTCTAAACATTTTGGCATACATTAGAAAAAATGAATGTATGTGAGCGTGTATGTGTTTTTTTTGCATAGCCAAGGAAATGTGTGTGTGTGTATATGTGTGTGTATGTGTGTGTATGTACGTATGTATGTATGTGTGTGTAAATTTTTAGACATGCCAGTTTTTTAAGTTTTGCGTCAAGATTCACAATAATTAACGATTTACGGCGCTATCGCGCTTACATATATCATTTCTAAAATAGCTACTGTAATTTAGAATTTTGAAAACTTTAAAATTTTTATTTTTAAGTGCATTGGTTAAAATTCTGAAAACAGTTGATAAATTGAAAAAAAAAAACGAAATTTTGAAAATATTAATTTTCTTTGGAATTATTTTTTTCAACATTTTGAAACCACTGGCCTCATATGAAAACTAATATTTTTTCAGACAAAATTGAAATGAAATATTATTAGTTTTAATGGGCAGGGTCTAGTACTCTAGTGGTTTCAAAATTTTGAAAAAATAAAGGTTTTCAAAAAAAAAAATTTTTTTAAGAAGTCGATTATTTTAATTTTTCAAATGTAGTAAAAATTTTCACTAGTGTTATTAAAAATCAAAATTCTAAATCTAATTTCAAATTACAGACAGGATGCCATGAACCATTAGTAGTTCAGTTCTTATTTCACTAAAAGTGTAACAATATTATTATATTAACTAACTCGTATTATTAACTTTCCGTAGGGTAAGTTATGGTAATCGCAAAAAAAAATCGAAAATGAAAATTTTCAAATATCTTCACGTTTCTGAGGTTTCTATATATGTTAGCATACCTTAGAAAAATAGATGTGTGTGTGTTCAAATACAAATTTTTGTCGACGATTTTGGTAACAGGAAGTTCAAAGTTTCTAAAACATTTCGAAGTATAAAAAAAAATCTTCAAAATGGTCATTTTCCAATAATTTAAAAAAAACTTAAAAATCTATTTTCTTTCAAAATTCTAAAAAACAATTTTAATCTTTAAAAAAAAAAACGGTTTGGAAAGTTCCAGCAATTTGCTCTAAGGCACGATGCCATACACCACTAGTTCTCATTTTTGTAAATTATATATTTACGACGCAATGTGCAACATATATAGTGTATAGTCTGTCTAATAATCAGGACAATCAGATATCAGAAAATGTATTAAAAATACATAAAATTAACGAAATTAAATAAAATGAATGAAAAAACTAAGGAAAGAAAGTAAAGTAACAAAATACGGCATTGTGATCACCAAACCTATAATTGAATAATACATGCAATCACGCCATGGTAATATTCAGATTATTTATTAATTTTGTATTAATTTTATTATATTATATTATTACTAACTATCTAACAACTATATCTTACAGGATAATATGAATTTAAATTCACTTAGAACATGCTCCTTTCTTCCCGAGATAAAATAATACGCAATTATGTATTACCACTTACCTCGAGGGCAATTCTTCCACGTGTGTAACAAGATATGTGCAAAATGATAGAAATAGTAATTCAAACATATTAAGCAGTAGTTTGTTTAACAGAATAACACTAAAACACTACCAAATTACAAAAACTACGATTACGAAAAATTAAAAACGCGTCCCGAAAACAATTTGCACCTCAAGGGCGTTAAGGTGTCACCTGTAAGGCGGCGTGTGCAGAACTAGATCGCACCTGCATTAAACTATTGAAATTATTTTACGATTTTGTACGAATATTATCGATTTTGAACGATTGTTGAAAATTTAGTATGTAATATTTTTCAAGGGCATGAGGTCATACAATGTATTTGTATCGTACCAAATCGTATCTTGCTGAATCGTACCAATTTCTTTAGACCATATGGCTTCTTAAAATATGGGCCGCGACCCCATTTGGGGTCGCGGAGGAAAATTAAGGGGTTAGGAAAAATTTTTATGTCAAAAATATATATTCTTAATGTAAAAATAAATATCCTTTTTTAACATCACGTCTAAATTTTTGTATGTTCGACAACGAATTCTATAACTATATTTTGACATATGTATATATGCATGTTGTTTCCTAAAAAATAAATCATCTAAGAATAAAACTTAGTAATTTCCTTTATATTTTTTTGGGGTCGTCAAAGAACTCACAATAATAAATGGGGTCGTCATTAAATTTGCAATCATAAATGAGGTCGCGAATGGCAAATGTTTAAGAAACCCTGCTTTAGACTTACAAATACAGAAAATATAATACTGTATGTTGATTCAAAAAATGTAAATTTTTATTTATATGTAGATCTATCAAATAAAATTTAAATAATATACATTATTATATGAAGAGTTTCGAAATATTAAAGAATTTAGTACAAATCAACAAGAGATAATTAAATATATTATTATTATTATTTTTTTTTGAGATTAATTTAATGTAATTATATTTGCTCACAAAATACATAATTGCATATTGTTAAAACAGTTGTTTCAATAACTTTAACTCTCAAAGATTAATTCTAAAACAATTTAAACTAACTGTAAATGGCATCGTGCCTTAAAGCAAATTACTAGAACTTCTCATACCAAAAATTATAATTTCTAAAGAAACTATGTATTATTTAAGAATTCAAATAAAATTAAAAAATACACATTATTCATATGCGTATAGTTTTAAAATAATATAGAAATTGGTACGATTAAACAAAAATTTAAAATCTGTCATAAGTCGTTTATGAATACTGTTTAAAAAAATAATTATGACAATTAATAGACATATCCATCGATTTAAATAAAATTTTAAACAATATCCATTTATATATGTGTATTTTTAAAATACTAAAGAAATTGGCTTCGTTCAACAAAAATTCAAAAATGTAGAAAATTAAATATATTATTATCTTTATATGATTTAATCAATGAAGCATATTTGCTGACAAAAATATTGGTGTATATCGTTTAAAAATTAATTTTGATAACTAATATATATTAGGTTGTCAAATATCTCCCTTCCGCTTTTTTGCTCTTGGTTTATAATACAAAAAGGCGAAAGGGAGATATTTCACAACCTTATATTATCAATCGAATATAATAAAATTTAATAACCCTTCATATAATATAATAAATGTATTGAATTGTGAGTGAGTTCTTGCAATTTTCTGAGAATGTTTAATTATGTGAGTGCAAGTGGTATTTAAGTTGCATGGGCTTCCCAAAATGTGTAAATATTCGACTTAAATAATAGTAAAAAAATATATTGAATCATGAGTTTCTGACTTGTAAAAGTATTATAATTTATTCAATTTTCTATCAATTTTCCGAACATAATAGTTATTTTTGACAAATGGTTTGAATATTCCAAATTATTAAAGAACGATCGTATGCGTTTACATGTACAAAATATTTTCTAAATTTGTGGCCGATTAATCTAAGTTTTTATTAAGTTTTGTAATTTTATTACTTGTCTTAATCCTCTAATCCCTAATATTTTAGTATCAAAAACTTGATTGTCATACAAGTTTTCATTAATACTGCAAAAACAAAAACTTTGCAATCAATTATACGTCCCGATCAATGTTTTCCAAAAATTTTTAGTCTCCAAGTGAGATCCAAGTAAAAACCGAAGTCGTTATTGCTTTACATCAGGCTGGTCGGAACAGGCATGAAACCTGGAATTGATTCTGATTGAAAATCTATAGTTTTACTCAATAAACTAGTCTAGTAGGATACTTCTTACAGTATACGAAGTATATTCTTCATGCTAAATTGTACACACTCTTAGTAGACAATTCTGCAGTAGGACCAATGTTATGTAGAAGATATGTTACGTAATGATTCTCATACAAAATGACAATCAAAATTTATGAAATATACCAAAATTTAATTAAGATATAATTTGTGAACCACTGGGTTTTCCTTTCAAAATTCTATGTTATTTGTCAAACTCATTACTCAATTTCTTTCTATTTAGACAGATTGTACTTTATAACAAAAAAAAAAATTATAAAACTTCAATTATTATCAGTAGGCACTTTTATCTAAATAAAAAACTCCAGTAAACCTTGTAGATCCCATGTTGATTTAATTAGCAGGAATAGTTTCCAATATTATAAGCAAATACAAGACTTCCTATTACAAATTGGTTCTAAATAATTTGTCTTTGATCCAGCCACAAAACTTGCAACTTTGAATCCAGTCGGCGGCGAGTGGGCGAGAAAAGCAGTTTATCCTATATGTCATAACAACAATGAGAGAAATTAGTAAGGTCAACAAAGCCCATAAATCATATGAATTATCCGGTCTATAAACAATCCCAGCAAAGGGATGAGGTGGGGTCAGAGGGCTAATAATATAATACCTTACTACTAAACTAAATAGGGCTCGAATACAAAATTGACGAGATTAGGATATGACGTATTTGAACAGAAAAATGATAAATACATAGTTATGAGTTGATATATTTTTTAACAAAAATATATCAAAAAATTATTTTTATCAAAAAATCCGATTAGCTAATTTTATGTTTTCTCGACGTTTAATGCCATTCTGAATCGAATTAGACCAAATTTGGAAAAAGTATGTGTATGTGTGTGTGTGTGCGTGTGTGTGAACAGATTTTTTGCGTTAATCGACGTTTTCTCTAAAACGGATGGACCGATTTCAAAAATTTAAAAGCCGATCGATGTATCTCGCTGAGGACCAGCGTTTATCAATTTTGCGCGACGATCGGCCGGGCCGTTTCTTTGTAAATTGCAGAAAAGTGAAAAAAATTTCGTCTACGTTTTAGCCAGCAATTCTGAATCGATTTTGAAAATTTGATAGATATTGGTTGAGAATCGTGCTGATTAGTTTTTGGTAGAGATCGGCCGGGCCGTTTTCTTGTAATAAAGTTTAAAAAAAAATTTGATGATTTTTTTTAACGGTAGATACCATAGTCTTGTAGATCATACTAAAATATTACGGCCCTACGACAAGCCGTTTAATTTTGAAAATTCTTCAAAGTTTGCAAAAATTAGTATCGTTTTTTTGGCATTTGTCAAAATTAGACTTTTCGTCGACGTTTGCTCAAAAATGCCTGAACCGATTTCAGGAATTTAAAAGCCATTCGATGTATCTCGATGAGGACAATCTTTTTTCAGTGCGACAAACTGCCGAACAGTTTCTTTGTAATTTAGAAAAAGTGTTAAACTTGTTGTTCACATTTAAGCTCATACTACCGAATCGATTTCAAATAATCAAAAACTATTCGAAAGATATTAGTTGGGAATGATACTGATTAGTTTTATGTGAAAATCTACCGAGCCGTTTTCTTGTAAATAACTGTTAAAAAAAATTAAGCTAAAATATTACGGTCTTACGACAAGTAGTTTAATTTTAAAGATTCATCAAAGTTTGAGAAAATAAGTAGTTTTTATGACGTTTGTTAAAATTAAAATTGAACGATTTACTTGATATAACAATAGAATTCTTGGTCTTAATAAACGTACTAAACCATTAAAGTCCTACGGAAACTGATTCAATTATAAAAATTGTTGATTTTTGAAAATTTGATTTTAGAAAATACTCTCCTAATGTGTAATATGCACTCGGAATACTATTAAACACTCATAATTTAATTTATTTTTTATTGATTAAGTCGATTATTTACACATATCACATATCGAGAAGTTCATGCAACTTGCCTCAAGGCAAAATAGTAATACCAACTAGTTAATTATAATTTAAGTTTCACGAGTAAGGTTACCCATCTTATGATTCTTATTAATTTTACCGAAAACTGTACATTGTATTAACTTTCATTCTTTAATAAATGAAGAGCTAGCGTAGCTTCATATTAAATATTATCACAAAGACTACAATTAGAAATATTAAAATATGTTTTTTGTTACAAATTAGAAGAGATTCCTTCTTAACTATCTCTTCACTCATTACAAGGGTTATTAATCCATCTTCGATTGCCAAACTGTAAGACGATGTCTCCTATTCTACACAAATCGCACAAAAAAAAAATTCCGACAGAAATAAAATCTCATTTCTTCAACATTTTAACTTGACACCATCACCGTCCCTCTAAATTACATATGATATATTGCATATTATTCCGGCAAACGCGTTGCGCAACAATGGGCCCTCGCTCACCGTAAACATAAACAGTTCTTATCATTGACGTGCCTTCGTTCTGTATTGTATACATATGTATGTATAGATACACCAAAAATAGGTATACATGGTGAAATATTCTGCAACGAATATATCGGGAAATCCATGTATTATGTCATTAATCAAACGAGATATTTCACGGAGAACGAACAGAACCAAGAGGTGCCGTACCCCCGTTGCCCAGGCCGCGTATCAAAAATATTCAAAATATATTATATGCAGAAAAAGCATAGGACACGTATTTTGCTATACATAAGTATGAAATGACGCGAGTTGAAATTTTATAATATTAGTAGCATCGTGCCTTCAGACAAATTGATGCAACTTTCCGTACCAAAAATGTAAATTTAAATATTTTCGAAAACATCGGGAAAAATGAGATTTTTGAAACATTTTAAATTATTGAAAAAAAAATTTTTTTTTGAAAATT